CCCTTTAATTTTTCACATTCTAAAACCTGTTTCACTCTGAAATATGTCACAATGTATAAATCAATTCAGTCATAACTTCTGTTACATGACTTTAAATTTGCTAAGCAAAGCAGGACACTAATTATTAATTAAAAATCAAAATGCGGCTTCCGGTTTGTTGAGATGGCGTAGACAGGCGTTGAATCTTGCTCCCGCAACATTTTATTCTATAGCTTCCTTAAAACCCCACAACTTATTTCTCTTTCACTGCAAATTGGACAACATTTTTGGCGTGCACATATCAGTATCCAATTATGGCAGCTAAATCAGCAAAACAAGGCAAAAAGGAACAGAAAGCTGAAGCGTGCGGAGATGACGGCAAAGATGTTAGCATGGCAGCTATCGCTAACATTTTGGAGGATCACCAGGCTGCACTCTCTGCAGATTTTAAAGCCACTGTCTCGACACTTGAGGTACAGCTGGATCAAATTCAAGCCACCGTGACAGAACATGGCTCGAAGATTGCTTCGCTCAAGACCCACGCAAATTCGCAGGATGAGCGCACGCACGCCTTAGAAACTACGTGTGCTATGTTAAAAGAGAGCAACTCTAAACTGCTTGCTAAACTCGTGAACCTCGAGTTTCGTAGCCGGCGTAATAATATAAGAATTATTGGGCTACCTGAATCCATAGAAGGACCTCGGCCGTCTGTTGTCTTCTCTGAGCTACTCGCAGAAGTGTTTGGGGATGGAGTCCTGGAATCTCCGCCGGAGTGCGACAGAGCGCACCGGTCACTGGCTGACAAACCGAGGCCGGGGGAAAGAGGCCTAGGCCTGTTATTGTACGGCTTCACAAGTTTCAGCAGAAGGAAAAAATAATTTGCGAAGCCAGAGTGAAGAGAGGAAAGCTTTATTATTGCGGCACTCCTATCACTATTTTCGAAGATTACGCTCTGGAGGTGCTGGAGCAACGTTCCAAGTACAGGGCGGTGATGTCTGAACTTTACAAACTGGGACTAAAACCAGCGCTGCTGTTCCCGGACAGGCTTACTATCGTTACGAAGGAGGGAAACAGAAGAAGACTTGCATCGGTCGCTGAAGCCAAGGACTACATTGCATAGTTACGTTCTGCTGAGGACTAAACTTGAAGCGACTGATGCAGTAACCTGTGTGGCTGGCTCGGTTGGTGACTCAGGATGTAACGTTAGCATTCGCTAAATGTTTTGAATTCTGCAAGACTTAAATGGCTGACTAGTTATTGCCTAGTTGTTACATTTGAACGTGCGTAAGTTCTGTTTATTTTAGATTTATAGATTACTCTCGTTAGGCATCATGGAGGGGTTGTGTGCACCCTTGTTTTCAATTTACTTGTTGCCTTTGAAAATTTCGCGGCTGTTACACACATTCGCTGCCTTTCAGACTCTGCCGTGGCGCCTACAATATGTGCTGCCATAATACTTTAGATTGGTTCAGTTCAGTATTTTTCATGGTTATATTAGCTTATTCAGTGACTGTACATGTTACATGGTTGTGTACAAAATGTAATTTAAATTGTTTACTAAGTTATGTTTAAATTTATAATTTACCTTTTTAAAAAAATAATAAATTTTTATTATTATTTACCATTTTTTATTTTTTTTATTTACCTTTTCTTCCCTCCATTATAGTGGGTAGTACTTACAGTTTTTTACATTTATTTTATTCCCATTTATATTTTTTAATCCATGACTCGCACGGACTGGACTTTCTCTTCTCTACGCACCTGTTGACTGTAAAACTTTGCAGTTGTGACATTCAGCAATATCTGATGTTAGAATATGGTTGGGACCCAATATACTTGAAAGGGGGTTGACCTTTAAGTAGGTGGCGGGAATGAGATGTCGGAAGTCTTGAGAGCATTGAGCCGTGTTGCTCGGATAATGTTTGCACTTTGGGGGATGTCTTTGGGGCCACAATTTTGGGTGGGTTTTTATTTTCTTTTTTCTTTTTTTTTTTTTCTTTTTTATTCCGCTCCTGTTTTCGGTCTTTTTTCTTATTTCGCTTTACAGAAGGCCATACCAATTCAAGTCACCTCAATCCTCTACATTGTTCTAGATGGCTCCTGACACTTCAAAGATGGGTAAAGGTGTGCGCCTGATTTCTTGGAACACTAAAGGAATGAATAAGGCCGTTAAGACTGGTAAGGTAATGACGCAGTTTCAACATTTGAAAGGGGATATTATATTTTTACAGGAAACGCATCTTAAAACATTATATGTCCAACGTATCAAAAGGGCTTGGATGAGTCATGTTCTTCATTCAAAATTCTCTGCTAAGGCTAGAGGGGCTGCTATTATTGTTAGTAAGAATATATCGTTTGAGCCAGTACAAGTTATTCAAGATGTTAATGGCCGTTATGTCATAGTATCGGGCTTGTTAAACAACTTTCCAGTAGTCTTAGTCTCTATTTATGCTCCCAATTGGGATGATGAGCAATTCTTCGTTAACTTTTTTGCTAAAATTCCGAACAGCGACAGTCATCACCTACTGATTGGGGGCGATTTTAATCTGGTGCAAGACACACGTCTTGATAGGTCATCATCTAAGCAAATCAATTTATCAAATTCTGCTAAAGTAGTGCTTACTTGTTCATCTCATTTAGGAATTTCAGCTCCTTGGAGATTTAAAAACCCCCATAGCAAAGTCTTTAAACTTTTTCCGGATTTACTATTTTTTGATTGACAATAAATTGCTGCATCTGGTTACTGCTAGCATTTATCACCCGATAGTTATTTCAGATCACGCTCCCACATCGATTGATATCAATCTCCCGCTTAGTGTTACCTCCCCATCTCTATGGAAATTTAGTTCTCATCTTTTAGCAGATCACGAGTTTAAGAACTTTGTTGCCACTCAAATTAGTAATTACATTGAATTCAATGATACCCCTGAGGTTAATAGTGGGGTTTTATGGGAAGCTCTGAAAGCTTTTGTTCGAGGTCAGATTATTTCTTTCATATCACACATGCATAAGGTTGAACGTGCTAAAAGGCAGGACATTCTAGAAAAACTTCTCAAACTTGATGAAATATACGCCATCTCTCCCTCCCAAACCCTTTACAAAAAGCGACTTGTATTACAATCGGAATATAACTGTTTGATGACACACATTGTAGAGAGACAACTGTGACAAACTAAGCAGCATTTCTTCGAACATGGTGATAAGGCGGGGGCACTCTTACCCCACCGGTTCGTGCAGCCAGTGCCTCTAAGGTAATTTCAATAGGCAATCTTACTGCAGACCCAGCTGAAATCAACAAAGCTTTTTTAGACTTCTATATTAACTTTTATACCTCTGAATACTCTTCAGGTTCAGCAAAGATCCCCAACCCCTTAGACTCATTAAATTACCCTAGAATTTATGAAGACACTGCTAAGGAATTAGGTAGCCCCATTTCACCCCAGGAGGTCCAAGAAGCCATTAGATTAATGCAGAATGGGAAATCCCCAGGCCCTGATGGGTTTACAGTTGAATTTTATAAAGAATATTCTAATTTACTAGTCCCAATTTTGGTGAAGATGTATAACGATTCTTTTCAAAAAGGTCAACTACTGGCGACTCTGTATATGGCATTCATATCCTTGCTTTAAAGAAAGACAGGGATCCCACCTCCTGCAGTAACTACTGACCGATTTCTCTGCTAAACATAGCTTGTAAAATTTTAGCTAAAGTTCTCTCTCTTTGCCTCCAAGATGCCATGTCATCCATAATTTCATTGGATCAAACGGGCTTTACATTGGGGAGGCATTCTTTCTTTAATACTAGAAGATTACTTAACATTATTCTCTCTCCATCTCCCACTACCCCTGAAGTTGTAGTTTCATTGGATGCTAGAAAGCGTTCGATAGGGTGGAGTGGGAATACATGTTCTTTGCTTTAGGTAAATTTGGGTTTGACACCAAATTCATTTCTTGGATTCGACTTTTCTATGCTTTCCCGTCTGCATCAGTGCATACCAATGGTGTTCGTTCGCCACCCTTTTTGCTCCAACGTGGGACACGTCAAGGGTGTCCACTCTCGCCCTTGCTATTTAATATAGCTATCGAACCATTGGCCATCTGGCTTCGTAGTCATGATACATTTAAAGGCATTATCCGCCATGGCCTGGTCCATAAACTTTCCCTTTATGCGGATGATTTGCTATTGTACATATCTGACCCTATAGCCTCTCTCCCCCCTATACTATCCATTCTAGAGCAGTTTGGCTGTTTATCAGAATATAAGTTAAACTGTCACGAATCCGGTCCATGAACTTTCCATTTCATTGACTCTCACACTACACACTGTTGCACATCACCCCGGACTACATTTCCCATCATGCATTACTGATTGCACTCAGCACGAATTGCACACACCTGTTTACACTGATTGCACCCAGCTGTTTCATATCACTCCCTCACTATATAACACTCACTCTGATCCCTTCCCTCTGCCGAGTATTGTTTCAGCATTTATCACTCCCCTAGAGATAGCTACCTTACGGAGCCCTTGTCATAGCCTTAGCCCTAGTCATTAGCCTTAGCCTTAGCCCTAGTCATTAGCCTTAGCCTTAGCCTTAGGCCTAGTCATTAGCCTTAGCCTTAGCCTTAGGCCTAGTCATTAACCTTAGCCTTAGCCTTAGCCCTAGTCATTTGCCTTAGCCTTAGCCTTAGCCTTCTCGGTTTCTGATCTTCGCCTGGTTTCTTGGATTCACCCCTTTTGTCTTGCCCCTTTTGATTCTGTCTGCCGATCGTCGACCTGCGCTAGCCCTAGGACCATTCTTGTGTTTTGCCCACCATATACCTGTCTGCCATTATCTGACCCATGCCTGCTGTATGACCACGTCTCTGTCTTCTCCAATAAAAAAGCTCTGCAAGTCTCACGTCTCGTCAGCCCGGTAACATAAACGTTCAAAAAAGTGAGTTATTTTTCATTAATCAAATGGCTAAATCTCTTGCTCTCTCTTCATTCCCCTTTAAGTTAGCCTTGGATGGGTTCAAATACCGGGGCAAATTTATTACCAATTCATTTAAAGATTTGTTTTTTAAGAATTTTATACCACTTGTGGACAAATGTAAATCTGATTTTGTTAGGTGGAGCTCCCTTTCCTTATCTCTGATAGGTCGCGCTAATCTTATTAAAATGATCATCCTACCAAAATTCTTGTATCTTTTTCAGCATGTCCCAGTCTGCATTAATAAATCCTTTTTTACTTATTTAGACCAGCAATTAAATGGGTTCTTTTGGAGTAACAAGCCAGCACGTATCAGAAAATCCGTTCTCCAGCTTCCCAAAACTGAATGGGGTTTAGCACTTCCAAACTTTCAATGCTACTTTTGGGCATGTAATATCAATAAGCTACTTTACTGGGTTAGCCATAGATGCTGTGATTCTAGCCCAAGAAAATCCGTTCTCCAGCTTCCCAAAACTGAATGGGGTTTAGCACTTCCAAACTTTCAATGCTACTTTTGGGCATGTAATATCAATAAGCTACTTTACTGGGTTGGCCATAGATGCAGTGATTCTAGCCCACCCTGGTTACACATAGAAATATCTTCCTCCCGTTCCTTACTTTCTAATGTTTGTTCTCAGCTTCCTCTTGATCTACACAAAGTTTCAAGCAATCCGGTAGTTATTAATTCTATTAAGATCTGGCATCAATTCAAGAAACAATTCGGTTTACACAAAGCCTCCATTTACATGGCAATTTCCAATAATCATTTATTTCCTCCGTCCCTTTCAGACTGGGTTTTCGATATTTGGGCAACTAAGGGTCTTTTTACGTTGAACGATTTGTATGAAAAGGAAATCTTCTCCTCTTTCCCTTCTTTATCAGTTAAATTCAACCTTCCTAATAGCCATCTTTTTAATATTTTTCAAGTGAGGCACTTTATTCAAAAATTATTTCCCAAATCGGCCCCCTGAATCAGAACTTGATTTAATTCTTACTCTCGACCCTGGTCAAAGACGGCTGATATCTACCATTTATGGTAAAATAACTTCCCTTACTCCATCTCCAGTTGACTCTCTTAAGCAAGCCTGGGAGCAAGATTTGGGTATTGACATATCGGAGGACCAGTGGAAGAACATTCTTGGATTAATTCATTCTTCATCTATCTGTGCTAGACATGCCCTAATACAATGTAAAGTGCTTCACAGAGCTCACTTCACTAATGCTAAACTGGCTAAAATATTTCCTAACAGAAGTGATGCCTGCAATAGATG